CTCTTTTGTGAGAATGAGCTTAATGTTTGTGGGTATCATTTCTAGAAATCCTCACGAGACTTCACTCGTCCACTAGGGATAACCTAGGGGTTTAAAAGGCTTGTTGCATATGCTAAATGTAATCATGTTCCCTACGAAAGTAGCGTTATCCATTTATTACTTTCTAGTTCAGAATCGTATAGTTGTTCATTTCATTCATTTACTTTATAGTTCATTGCTACGGACTAGCAATATTTAAGTTTGGGGGTGTGATGAACGCTAAAAAGTGCGCATTTAAACCCCTTAAACTTAGGTATTCTACGACCTTTATCTATCTTACTTTCCCGTTTTAGACTAATTTCGTGTTACTGCCCCTTTTAGGTGCTTATCCCCAAAATAAGCTAATTCAGCCAAATAAGAGCTTAAAAGAAGCTAACTCAAACTGGATGGAAGAAAGAAGGAAAGTGGAAGCAGATTGAAGCAAAGTATGAAATTCAGCAGGTTCAATCGATCACAAGTATACTTTGATCGATCGAAAGTTCATCGATCTAGACATTTCAAGATGGATCCAACCTCTTTTGTCCTTATCCAAAGATCCCACAAAGTTCGATCGATCCAATAATTCTCAGATCGATCGAAAAGATTTCATCTTATCTTGTTGTACCACACCACCTACCACTTTTGTCTCTTTCCCCAAAATATCTCAGATCTGTCCTTATCCAAAAAGGCGCCGCCATGGGAGGATCGATCCAGCCAAAGTTTGATAGATCTCAGCCATATTCGATTGATCTCACCACAAGTTCGATCGATCGAACTTCCTCAAGCCCGAAAAAAGATAAAATCCAGCTCATTAAAGGTTGGCTCATGGTGCAATCATTGGAGGAATATTGATGTGCGAGCCCAGGTCATTGGGGGTGACATTTAACCTACCTATATAAAGAATATGAGCCACTTTTACAAAAAGACTTTTGACACAATTTCCATATCATATTCTTAGTGAGGAAGAAAAAAAGGGAGGAGGCTAGAGACACAAGCTTGGAGTTCTTCCATCAACCAAGAAGATGAGCAATTTCTACCATGGAGTTAGCCCTTGAGGGTTGGAGGACACCATCCATGAGTGGCTAGACATCCTCTTAGGGCTAGAGTTAGCCCTAAGCATGCTTTCTACATCTTGATTTATGTATTTTTTAGGGAATTTGTATTGTGATATATGTTTTGACATTTTTATATACATAGATCTTGTTTATTCAATGATTTATGTGGTTTAATGCTTCCAATTGATCATTTCATTCTAACCATATGTCTATGTATGCTAGAATAGATGTTCATGTGTTTGTATTTAGATTTTGTGTTATTGATGCATGTTTATGTGTATTGATACTATAGATCTAGAAATTGTCAAGACATAGTGCTTAATAGAATGCTCTTGTGGTTTATTTGATGGTTCATACTCATTTCTTGATGGATTGTGCCTCTCCCTAGTTTAATTAGTTTAATTTCATGTCATTAGCTTAATTGTAGTGTAGTTGTAGTTTAGATGTTAAATGAGAGGACAATCCATGCTTGTTGTATGATGTTCCATACTTATGAATGCAAGTACCATATGTCTCTAACCTTGTAATGTGTTTGGATTGTGAGCTTAAAGAAAGGATTAATGGCTTAGTTTGATATATTGTGCTATCCATTGTGTTGCTTAGACAATATATACTCAATTGGTCATCCATACTTGTTGAAACAACCACACATACACACTCTTGTTGTAACATATGCCTTCCCCTCATTAATTGTGAATTGAGTATAGAGAAAAGTGATGCTTAGTGGTGATCTCTAATTTCCAAGACCTCCCTATCTTGTTTTCTCTATCCTTTAATTACTTGTTTAATATTGATCTTGTTTAGTTTTAATTGTAGTTTAATCAACCAAACAACCTACCTTTGATCACTCGACCTACTAACCCTAAGCCTTATTTCCACTACTAGTGCATCCTTAATCCCTTGGAACGATCCCTACTCACCCTAGCTATATTTTTAGTTAGAGGTAGTAGTGGCATTTATAAATTTAAAACTTGGCCACATTGCACATTCACTACCTTTTGAACATCTTTTTAGGCTTTGGTGCTTGACAGGCGCTAAGACACATGTAGGCGAATAATCTAACATATACTAAGCATGCAAGATTCAGTTAATATCCAATTAAAACCCCTAGAGATAATCTAGGTATGCACAGAACATAAGTCAAGGGGAGAGAGACAGAAAGGTTTCTGTTGAAACCTTTAACCATCTTCTTCCTAGGTTTTCCAGCGACCGTAGTTGCCGTTGAACCTCCTCTGTTACTCTTGGTTTAACCCACGAGCCAGCCTCTGTTCCTCCTCCTCCTTGATTCAGCCTTCTGGCTGAACCCTAGCTTTTCCTCCTCTTAGTTTCTCTCTCTGTTCTCACGTCCCTCTCTCTACTGCTATAAGGGTTTTCAAACCCTATTACAGACATTATATGTATTTATAGGTTAAATCTACTCCAACCCTAATCCTCATTGAAATCCAAAACTGAACGGAAAAAAAAATAAAACCTAATTACATAAAATATAATGATTAAATATATACATAAATTATAATTATATATATATATATATATATATATATATCGATAACGTGCTAAATTCCTATTATTAACATAAATAATAAATAATAAATAATTATAAATAATAATACTACTCTATCCTTACATACGTATATACCCAATTAGATATATACCATCATCCATATATGGGTAAATACCCGTACCCATCATACATTTTTTCCAAGTAGTTCTATGTGACCCTTTGGCTGGCCCATTACTACCCTCCAGTACCATTCTTATAAAAACATAAAAAAAAAATCAAAATAAAATACATTTAAATCATTAACAAATAAAATTATAATAAATTAAAATCATTTAAGCACACAATAACAAATAACACATAGACAATTAAAACAAGAACTATTTACATAAATTAAAACACACAAGCAACTAATCAACAAACCAATTACAATTAAATCAATTCAAATAAAATATGAAACCATACAACACATAGCCACATAAGCACCTAAAATACAATAAAATAAAACAATTAATTTCTAATTATATCCTTTTGAAACTAGGGGTATTACATAGTATTTGTTAAGGGACTAGCAAATTGTAAGTTTGGGGGTATGATAAGCGCCAAATACTACATATTTAAGCACCCTTAATTGCATTGTTTAGTCTATCTAGTATGTTAATAAAGTATGTTTTATACACTTTTGAGTTTATTTGTCATTTTCAGGGCTTATCTACAAAATGGTGTAAAAAGGGGATATTAATGGCTTTTAATGGATAAGGGAATTGGCGAGTTACGGAACCCGGCAAAATGGACTTAGAGCCTAAAGATTGTATTCATCCTAAGAATGAAGTCAGGCCAGGGGAGCTGAGCAAGAAAGAGGTCAAACATGAAGGATTCAGCCTTACGTCCGAACACACCTCTTAGTGCAAATCTTGCGTCCGGACGCCCTTCACAACCCGTGATGAACAAATAAAGCAATTGAAGAAGTTGAAATTCCAGTTGCCTCGTAAATTTGTGTCCGGGTTCTCAGCCATGCGTTCGGATGCCTGATGCCACAGCCCCACGATGCCAGCGTCCTGTGCACGCACCAAGTAAAACTTGGACACTCAACGTCCGGATGCACTTCCTGGCGTCCGGACGCAAAACCTGCGACTTTGAAATTCAAAAGAAATTTTCAGTTACTTATCTCTCTCCTCCTCACTTGAATGCACAAGTTTAAAGGCTTTTTGAACTAATTTTGCCAAAAAAAAAGGTTATATACACTTGTATAGGATCATATACAATATCATCTACCATTATAGAATTCGAATTGGGAAGTTCTAAAGAGAAAAAGTGAGAAATAGCTAGGGTTCTTGAGTGTTCTTGGTTTGGGGCTGCCATGGAGCTGAAAATGGAGTCTTCCTCTTCAACGATTGGAGCTTCTACCACCACCAGGATGAGCTAAATCCCTTCCTAGGGGATTGAGGTAGCCTCGATTAAGTAATTATGTAATTTTGTAATGTAATTTGGGGAAAACTCTTGTGTGTGATGAGTTTCATGAACAAAGATGTAATGCATTATTCAATTTGTGTTTTGTTTACATTTAAATTGATATATAATCTGTGCAGAATATATATATAGGTATATACACCATGTAACTCTTGTCTTAGAAAGCATGATTATATACTTATATACTTAGTATTTCATATGTGACAATGAAGATTGATATTTATGAAATGGGATTATTGGCATGTGATACATAAATTTAGATATATTATGCCGAGGGAAGATGGACCATGCTACACCCCTAGATTAATGTAATTAAGTAGATGGTTCATGCCGACCAAAAACAGTCTATGCCAGATGATTGATTTCATGTGCTAAAACTTGTAATGTTAAGATTTTGATAGGCCATGCCTAGGGAAGATGGCTCATACCACACCCTAATTTAGGTGGATGAGTCATGCCAACCATAGATGGGTCATGCTTAGTCTTAAATTACATGATTTTCTGGAAATTGTTATAGTTACTTTATATTTCTACACTTTACACGTCACACATAATTATATCCCTAAGTTACTTACAAGTATGCATGATTAAGAGGTCGTGGTGAACTCAATTCCCTAGCCTCCCCTTTAATTACTCTTTAAATTCAATTTAGTTTATTTTTATCTTTATGCAAACGATAAACAAACAAATCAACCATCATTTGTGACATTAACAAGCACGAAATTAATCTTTGAAACTTGATTGCCATAAACTTCACAATCTTCGTGGATTGATGCCCCTACTTAACCACTTTCTTAGGAACTTGTGTTATAGCTAGTGCGATTTTATTATTGGTAGCTCCGCGAGCACATCAATAACAACAACAACAAACGACAACAGTAACAACAAACAACACCAAGATCAATTGTTGCTTATTACTATTATTGTTGCTACTATTGCTGTTATTGTTGCCACTGATGTTGTTGTTGTTATTGCTACTGCTGCTACTTTTGCTGTTGCTATTGCTGTTACTTGTTGTTGTTACTGTTGTTGCTGTTACTACTGTTGTTACTGCTGCGGCTTCTATTATTATTATTACTGTTGTTGTTGCTGCTGCTTCTGTGGCTATTGCTATTGATGTTATTTTTGTTGCTATTGCTATTGCTGTTGCTACTGGTGTTGTTATTGTTGTTGTTGTTGTTGTTGTTGTTTGTTATTGTTGTTGCTGCTGCTACTACTGTTGTTGTTATTGCTGTTGTTGTTATTACTGCTGCTATTGCTGTAGCTGGTGCTACTACTGTTGTTGTTGTTGTTGTTTCTGTTATTGTTATTGTTGTTGTTGTTGTTATTGTTGTTGTTCTTGTTATTGTTGTTGCTGTTGTTGTTGTTGCTGGTGTTGTTGTTGCTGTTGTTGCTACTGTTGTTGTTGTTGTTGCTGTTGTTGCTGCTGCTATTGGTGTTGTTGTTGGTGCTGTTGTTGTTGCTGCTGGTGCTGGTGTTACTGGTGTTACGGCTGCTACAGTTATTACTATTGTTGTTAGTGTTACTGCTACTACTGTTTGGATTCTCGAGTTGTACTTTGGAGATTATTATTCTGTTGGTAGTGGTGGTGATGGTGGTGGTGTTGGTGGGGGGAAGGTTGTTGTTGCTGTTGTAATTGCTGGTGCTGGTGCTTGTAATAGCCCGGGTTTTAGATTAAGCTTTAATCTTGATTAAAGGTATGATTAGTAAATTTTGGACACTTTTTTATTTTATTTTGGGAGTTTAATTTTATTAAAGGGATATTAGAGGTCATTGTGAAATTATTCATGTGTGATTGGAACTTTGGGAATTTATGAATAATTAGGATAATTGATTCTAGGTGGTAGCCATGCAAGGTCTTAAGACACATTCCACGCATGCACCACTCATCTGATGACTCAACTATTTACTTTTATATACATCTTACACTAAAAACAACCTACCACTATCACATTGCAATTGTTCCACATGGTTAAAGAGATTGAGAGAATAAGATAGGGCTGAGATTGGGACAAGAGGAAATAAGAATGAGAGGTGGTTGAGAATTACAAAGAGTTAGAGAGGAAGAGAAATATGAAGGAAAGGAAAGAAAGAAGAGGAAAAGGGTTGTTCTTCATCTTCATTATCATCCGCACATTTAATATTATCCTGATTTCAATTAAGGTAGGTTTTACTCTAACTCTTGCTACTTTGTGTGATTTGGTTTCCTACACCATCTCTTGTTGCCATGAATCTGTTATTAATTTTGGAAATTTCATGTGCACAGTCAATCCCTTGATAACTCTTTTGATTCTAACTTACCTTGCTGGGTTCCTTATGATTAATCTTTTGAACAAGTTGCTTGATTCACTTTTGCTTATTTGATGTGGGATATATTTCCTTAAATTCCCAAGCATGCTCTTCATGGCTTTTCTTGTGCTAAAATCTCTTAGGAGCAGTTGCTAATGTACTTCCTACTAGAACTTTAGTCTTACCCTATTATTTTGCAGGTTCTCATGACCCTTGAAAGTGCTGGAGCTGTTGATTTCGTTTACTTGGAGACTATCCAACATTATCCTTTTATGTGTTTGATAAAATGCTTGATTCAATTATAATTTTGACAATTGATGTAAATTGAGGATTTCATGTGGTTATGCATGTATCTAAATTAACCTATGAATATCTAAAGACTTCTTATTGATGTTCCTTATGGGTTTGAATGATGGAATTGATGATGGGAAAACCGGAAATTGTTTTGTTGCTGGAAACACTTCAGACTCTTTTGATGCTTGTCATTATATTATGAAAAAAAAAAAAAAAAATGGTCTTTATTTTATTGGAAAACAATATTTTCTATAAGGGTTTGTAGAAATCCAAATGCTTTCAAATTTTTATCATAACTTCATTTATGATCCTAGTATTGCTCTTTAACATTTTGTAATTTTTGGACCAATAGATATTTTTCTAAAAATTCGAAAATATCTGATGTCCGTATTTTATCTCTACTGAAAATCAGATTTTTGAATGAATTATTTGACCAACTTCTTGACACCGGATCTTTATTAAAATTTCCAGTTTTATACTTCCCTAAGTCTAATTTCTAAAAATGAATTTATTGGAATTTTCTTAACTTCGGATATTTTTCAAATGAACGAAGTTTGCCAGAAAAGTTTATTTTCAGCTCATTCTTTAACTGTCATTTTCCTTCCAAAAATTGATTTTATTAGCAAAGCTTAAATTACTGGGAATTGCAGTTTCACATTAGCCTTTGAGTCTAGTTTTCAAATCATTTTTGTTTGCTCCATTTTGATTTAAAATGAATTTTCTACGAGTTTTTTAATTAATTGCAGCACATATTTTGTTTTGAGATTGTTTGTGAAATGTTTAAGTTGGTAATTATGAGAGTAACGCAGCGGGATTTGGTTTGTGGTTATTTGGGTTGAAGTAGGACTAAGAATGGTATTATTTTATTTGGATGTTTTTTTCGAAACTTGTTTGTCATAGCCCCTAATTTCGGGTCGTTACAGTGTTGCTGTTGTTGCTAGTGCTGCTACTGCAGTTGTTGTTGTTGCTACTGCTGCTACTGCTGTTGTTGTTGTTATTGCTGTTGTTGTTGCTATTATTGTTGCTGCTATGCTGATGTTGTTGTTATTGTTGTTATTGTTATTGTTATTGTTGTTGTTGCTGCTGTTGTTGTTGGTGGTTTTTCTTCTGCTGCTGTTACTATTGATGCAACTGCTGCAAGTGTTGTTGTTGCTGCTGTTGGTGTTGCTTCTGCTACTGTTCGGATTTATGATGTTCGGATTCCCGAGTTGTACTTTGGAGATTATTGTTCTATTGGTGTTACTGTTACTGTTGCTGTTGTGGTTGTTGTTGGTGTTGGTGTGGCTGTTGGTGTTGTTGTTGCTACTGCTGTTACTATTGTTGCTGCTTCATAGGAATAAGTAACTATCTCGTTTTCATGTAGTAGAAGTGTATATAGAATCTTTGAATATTTTTATAGAAACTTTGAAAAAGGTTTCACTCGTTCCAAATTCCTTTTAATATGGAACACATTGATCAATTCATTTTCAGTTCTGGGCCTCGAACGGTATGGAGGTTGGTGTCATACGAGGGGTGGGTGAAAGATTGGTGCCTAGCATCTAACAGATGAGAGCTTTATACCAAATAGATTGGGGGTACGGTAGTCGACGATTGGCGTTGTCGTTAATTACGAGTTTCACTCCATACGAACCATTTCTAATACAGGACACCCAGGCATGGTGTTCATAGTCCTTGGTGTATTTGATTTATGTCATACCTTTATAGGTTATGTGAGAATCCCGAATTTTTAAGTGCGGATTGGATAGGCCTACACTTGAAGACTCTGAGATATAAAAAAATAATTGATAATAATGAGCATAAAATATAAGAAGAATATAATAAAATAAATAATAACACTAAAAGAAGAACTAAAATAATAAATAAATCTTAACCATCTGATAACAATAATCTCCAAAGTACAACTCGAGAATCCGAACAGCAGCAACAACAATAACAACAGCAACAGCAACAGCAACAACATCAACAAGCAATAACAGCAACATCAACAATAACAACATCAACAACAACAGCAACAACAACAACATCAACAAGCAATAACAGCAACAGCAACAATAAGCAGCAACAACAGCAATAGCAACAAACAACAACAGTAACAACAACAATAATAAGCAACAGCAGCTACAACTACAGCAACAGCAACAACAACAACAAAGAACAACAAAAGCAGCAACAGCAACACCAATAACCACACCACTAAGAACAACAACAGAACAATAATCTCAAAAGTACAACTCGGGAATCCGAACATCATGAATCCGAGCAGTAGCAGAAGCAACACTAGCAGCAACAGCAATAGTAGCAGAAGCAACAACACCAACACCAACAGCAACAGCAACAACAGCAATGCAGCAACAACAACAGCAGCAATAACAATAGTAGCATTAGCAGCACCAGCAACGACAACACCAACAGCAGCAGCAACAACAACAACACCAATACCAACACGAACATGGACGACGATAACGACAACAACAACAACACCAACAGAACAATAATTTTTAAAGTACAACTCGGGAATCCGAACATCATGAATCCAAACAGTAGCAGCAACAACACTAATAATACCAATAGCAACAGGAGCAACACCAGCAGTAACAACAGCAACAGCACCAACAGTAACAGTAACAGCAACAACAGCAGCAGCAACAATAACTGCAACAACACCATCAACAACAAAAACAACAACAACAATAGAAGCAACAACAATAGCAACACCAGCAGCAACAATTACAGTAACAACAACAACATCAACATGAACAATTGGAACAACAACAACAACAACAACAACAAAAGCAGCAGCAACAACATTTACAGCAATAGCACCAGCAACAGCAACAACAAACAACAGCAACAACAAAAGAAGCAACAGCATTAACAACACCAACAGCAGCAACAACAACAACAGCAACAACAGCAACAGTAATAGCAACATCAGCAACAACAACAGCAACAGCAGCAACACTAGCAACAACAGCAACAAGCAATAGTTGCTCTTGCTGTTGTTTATCGTTGTTGTTGTTTGTTGCTGTTAACGCTAACATCCTTAAAAAAAAGTTTCTCATCACATTTATTTTTTTAACTCTAACATCTTTAAGATCTTTTTCAAATCACATTTATTATTCTAATTCAATAACCTTAAATCTTTTTCTCATCATAATTATTTTTCAATTCAATGATTTTAATTTGATAAATAATTTAATATTAACTTAGTTATTAGTAATTTTTTATTAATAAAATAAATAAAAATATATAATTATTTAAAATACAAGCAGCCCTAAACTTGAGCGCCGCTGCTCTTCTTATTGTTCCGAAATAAAACAGGCAAGTCCCAGTTTTTTTTTTTTTTTGGTCCTCATCCGCGCATGTATATAAAAACTAAAGGTCTACTACACCCATTATACAAAGAGCGGTGAATGAGATCGAAAGAAGAGAGAACAGAAAAGATGGAGAAGAGAGAGATATGTGTCTGAAAAAAAAAATTAAAAAGGGAAGAGAGAGAGTCGTACATTTTGTATAGCGCGGTAATATAAATAATAAAAGAACAATACGTATTTATTTATTTATATAAGGCACCATTGTTGTCTTTTGTTTTTTTATATACTTTTTTCGACCGGCTGGTGAAATCCAGTGATGACTCCTTAATTGAAAACCAGGGATACCTGCTTTTCTCTCACACAGTAAAACTCAATACTCCATATTTAGCGATCAGATCTATATCTGGTAGATCCCATCTCTAATTGTTCTTTTGTATTTCTTTTTGTTTATTCAATCTATTCTTGATTTTAGGATCGATGTGGGAAATTGATAAGCTTGAAACATGATTCAGAAAATGGATCAAGTATTCTTCCGGAACAAGTATATGTCAGATTTTGAGCAAGGAGTCATTCTGGCTTTGTACTCGTATTTTGTTCGTGCACAATCAACCGAGGCCTCCCCGGCTCATGTGGCAAGGTAGTGTTCTTTTATAGAAATATTTAACTGAGTTTTCATAAACCCAGATATGTTAACAGATAAACCCGAAAGCCATTTTTTTTTTTCATTATTTTGCTCTACTATTTTTGTCAGTTTGATATATATATATATACACACACGTACTTACAAAATATTACCTTTCTCCCCCCTGGAATTATTAAAAAAATTCAATATTGCTAGTGAGTTTTTGGGTGCATCCCTGACAATGCTGTGTCTGATTTTAAGATTCTTTTCATAGCAAACATTTTTTCATAACACATGCAACAACGCCGGTAGTGTCTAGTGTCTGATTTAGGTTAATAATCTGAGCAAAGAAATTCATTCAAAGCCAAGTGGGGTGCCTTTGCTTTGCCATCGTAAGCGCGTTCTTTCATGAAGTATGTAAACATTTTTTCATAGCACATGCAACAACGCCGTCAGAGTATAATGTACGTTATTTTATGAAGTATGCAAACATTTTTTCATAGCACATGCAACAATGCCGTCAGTGTTTGATTTTAAGATTTTTTTAACAGCAATTAGTCTCTGATCTAGGTTAAAGTATGCAAACATTTTTTCATAGCACATGCATGCAACAACGCTGTTTGTGTTTGATTTTAAGATTTTTTTCATAGCAATTAGTCTCTGATCTAGGTTAAAGTATGTAAACATTTTTTCATAACACATGCAGTAGCGTTGGTAGTGTCTGCCTTAGGTTAATAATCCGAGCAAAGAAATTCTTTCAAAGCCAAGTGGGGTGCCTTTGGTTTGCCTTCGTAAGCGCGTTCTTTCATGAAGTATGTAAACATTTTTTCATAGCACATGCAACAACGCCGTCGGTGTCTAATGTACGTTCTTTGATGAAGTATGTAAACATTTTTTCATAGCACATGTAACGAACGCCGTTAGTGTCTAATGTAAGTTCTTTTATGAAGTATGTAAACATATATTCATAGCACATGCAACAACGCCGTTAGTGTCTAATGTACGTTCGTTTATGAAGTATGTAAACATTTTTTCATAGCACATGCAACAACAGTGTCTAATGTACGTTCTTTTACAAAGTATGTAAACATTTTTCCATAACACATGCAACAATGCCATTAGTGTCTGATTTAGGTTAATAATCCACGGAAATAATGGCTTTTGGAGGAAAGAAAGTCATTTGAAGCCAAGTGCTTGCAGTTAGGACGTCCCAAGTGAACTCAATGGCACTAATGTTACTCGATGCCAAATGCTGATAGTTCAGCCTGAATTCTCAACTCAGTACCTACTGGCTGAGGAGTGCCAACGATGCTCATATGTCAAAGAGATTGAAAAAGAACGAAAAAAGGGATTCCAATACGAACTTTAGGGCCAAGGTTGGGGTGTCAAGGGAGGTTCACAGCTTGTCGCAGTTTTGGCTGATGATGAAGAAGTAGTGGGTTCGTTGAACTATTGATTTGCAGGATTCGATGGAGTTCGAGCTCGATATGATCAACAACTCTACCTGATAGATTCAGGAAGCCAGTCGGAAATATTTGTCAGATGAGCAATCCAAACTTCGGCTTCGACTAAATCCGTATGCTCAGAAAATGGCATTCAAGCCCGGTTTATCAACATTTCATAAAACATGCAATAACGTTGGTAGTGTTTGATTTAGGTTCTTTTACAAAATATGTAACTATTTTCTTATTTTTATAAAACATGTAACAACATCGGTAGTTTCTATGACTTCCACTTATCGATCCCTTTGTATACTTTTTTTGTTCTAGATGGAACTGAGTTTTGCTTTATGCATGTGTGTGTATATATTTATTCCTTTCGATTCGTTGATTTCTTTTTGTTTATTGAATTCTATTCTTCATTTTATGGAATAGACGTGGGATATAAAAAAGTTGGAGACTTTTTTTAGAAACTGATTTATCCAGCTGCCCTGCCCCCAACTCCTACGGGTGGATCCAGTCAAGTCTTAAGAAAGAAGCAAAATCATTCATACAAGATCTAGTTTTGGATCTTTATGAAGTTTTTTTTTGTATATTCCATTTTATTGGTAAGTTTCAAAATGTTTAGAATTTTGTTCACCATTTTTTTTATAAAAAAATTTCTATTTTCTTTTATAGATTTGTTGAAGTGAGATTCTGCACGATCCAAAATGATATCGTTTCCTACAAAAAGAAGCAATGAACCTTGACAACACCGGTGTAATGCCTGCCAAAGAGCTCTCCGACGTTCAAGTTAGTCACCAGTACTCTGAAATAATAGCAACATTTAATATATTAATTATTTCATCCCATTCAAATCGATTATTTACCTTCTTATAGGAGATATTAATTAAATGTCGTTGCATTTGGTAACCGTCAGAGAAATTTTTGATGATTCCATGGAGATTTTGAGAAGGATAAATCCCTTACCTTTATCTCATTTCTAATTTGAATTTGAGTTGCTCATTATCTACATTCAAAATGCCTATTATTTTTATCCTTATCAGTTGCCCCCCATTATCGTGCTTGCTTGTCAAGTATCGAGAATGTCAAAACTGTTTTTTCTTTATGTTTTTTGATTGACCTCTCTTTGGCAGAAATCACTCTCTTTTATATACCTCGTCTTACTCCTTTAATAAGAAAGTAGATTTGCCCGAGTTTCGTGAGCTTACCTTTTAAAAAGGGAAGAATATATTACGAGCTGCACTCAGCTCGCCTTTTAAAAAGGGAAGGATATTTTACGAGCTTCACTTAGCTCGCCCTTTAAAAAGAGAAAAATATTTTATGAGCTTCACTCAGCTCACCCTTTAAAAAGAGAATAAATTTATTTAAGCTTCATGAGCCCGTCTCTTTAATAAGGGAGTAAATATTTTGAGTTTCACTCAACTCACCCTTTAATAAAGGAGGTTAATTTCTGAAAAAATATATATATCTATTATTATTTTTTTATATTAGTTTCGTGAACTCATCTCTTTAATAAGGGAGGTTGATATGTCTAAGGATGCGAGCTAGTGCTTGGCCTTCACATTGGAATTGCAAGTTCTGTTTTTTTATAGCTTTCTTTCTTTCTTTTATGAAAGAAATAGAAACTGCTTTGCAGGAAGACACCAAATAAGGTCCATTTAAGATAAATTAGGAGGTGGACGAATTTGAAAACTTATGATGGGTGTAAATGACGTGTGATAATATAACAAGAGCAATTCTCACACTTCACCATAACTTACTTAGCCAGGCACACTTTCTTAATGCTGTAGGGGGATCTATAATTTTGCACCATAAGAGGTATTTCATCAGTCAAGTAAACTTGATAACACCATGGAATAAGAGTCTAAGACTAAGACAATTGATAGTTATTTGTTCTTGGAAAATTCTATGATGTAGAGGTACTACTAACACTGTACTGCTTTCAGATTAATTACATGGATGGGGTAGTCCAGTAAATCCTAGATTCCCTCCCTCAAATAAACAGAGCTACCTGTTATAATTTGGACCTATGTTGAAGAAAGAGTCCACCACAAACACAACCCAATTGTCGACCACAAGCATTTATTCTTTTATTCCCCTAGCAGTGCTGTTGAAGCATTTATTCTTTTATTCCCCTAGCAGTGCTGTCGAAGGCTTCATTTTCTTTTTTATTTATGTCATGGGGATAGGTTGAGTAAATTCCACCATAACAAGGCATGTAAAGTAGAGTTTACTATAAGTAATAATAGACACCTTAATTATTAGATGGTTAAAATATGATATTTTAAACTTTTTGAAGGATGTAAGATAGAAAATAACAATACATGCTTTTGTACTAAGAAAAGACAAGCACTAACTACATAAACTTATTTTGTCAGTTATTTATTTATTTATTTATTTTTCGTGTTTGCTCCGGATACATATCGTTTCATTTTTTTAAAGACTGTAAACTTTTCACTAAATATATATTACTAATCTTTGCCAGAATAAAATAAGACAACAAAAAGAGTAAGTGTTCAAGTAATATAAGAACTTTAAATATAATAGAATTTCACTTGTGATATATAACGAGTGAGTCCTATTAGTTACCATATGAAATACAATTTCCTTTTCGTATCCTACACTTTATTTATTTATTTATATAAATATGCTTAGATAATTGA